TTTTTTTTTTTTTTTTAACGATTTTATTTATTTGAGAGAGAGGAAAGCTCGAGCAGGGAGAGGGGCAGCAGAGGGAGAGGGAGCAGGGAGCCCGCTGTGGGACTGATCCCAGGCCCCGATCATGACCTGAGCCTGAGCCGAAGGCAGACCTTAACCCACCGAGCCACCCAGGTACCCCTTTCTGAACTTCTTTGGAGATTTAAGTCAAAAGCCACGCAGTGATTTATCACCAAAAACAAAATTTAGAAGCTTGACTGGATTAGGTTGTCCTCGGGGTGAGATTCCGGGCTTCCTTGGCACTCCCGGCGGGTGAGTGGCCCGGGTCCCTCCCCCTGCTGCAGCCTGGCAGGATGGAGGATGGAGGGCGGGGATGCAGGTGTTCCCGAGTTGGCGGGTCCCGAGGCTCAGCTCCTGGAGGCCCCCCCGCTGCACGGGCGGCGGGGACGGACTCCTGGGGACACCGCCCGCTGCGCTTTGGCCGCACCTGCGCGGGGTCCCCGCGGATGCAGGTGTCTGGGCGCTCCCGGTGGGGTTGACGGCGGGGGGTGCCCGGGGGCAGTGCGGTGACCTTCCGGCCGAGGGGTGCGTGCCCAGGAGGCCACCCCTTCTCTGAAGCGACCCCACGAGGTGGGTCTGCGGAGAGGGTCACAAAGGGAAAGGAGCCACAGCCTGCTGCGCGTGCGCGGACTCGAGCTGCGGGGGGGCCTGATCCAACAGCGCATCTCCGGGTGTCCGGCCCCGAGTGGGTTTAGGGGGTGTACGCGTGTGGCGTGTGGCTGGGATGGGAAGTGATGCGCGTACGGGGTGGGGTGTCCGGGTGGGGTGTCCGCGGTGCCCGCGCCCCAGCTCCCCACGCGGCGGCTGCGCATCTCCCGGGCGGTAACCATGGCAACGGGAGCTCCCGCAGAGCTGCCCGCACGCCCCCGAGAGTCACCTGCGGGGGCGCCCGGCAGGTCCGCGGCCCCAGGTGCTGGCACCTGCCGAGCCCCGTGGTCCCACCTGGCAGCCAGAGGATGCGCGAAGCACGTGGTGCCCTTGGGTGCGAAGGCGCAGGGGGCGGGGCGCTCCCGGATCCCGCCCCGGGAAGTGAGCTCGCCACGTGGAGGGGCGGGGCCTGGGCTGTCGGGTTCTCGGACTCGCGGGGGCTCCTGTTGGGTCCCAGGCGGGTGGGCCAAAGGGGGCCCCCGCGGGTGAAGGGCGCACGGGCTCCCCTTCAGTGGCCGGCAGCTCCCTGGCTTCTGGAAGAGTAGACTTAACCCGAGGGACAGGGCTGGCCTGGCTACCGGGGTTGAACTTGGGGTACCTGTGCTCCCCCCCTCCCACCTCTGCTCAGGGATGGAGTGAGGCGGTGGGAGTGGGGGGCGCTGACTGCCTCCATCCTAATCCTCTTTAACCTGAGGAGGTTGGGTCAGACCAGCTTCTATTCATTCATTCGTAACTTTCATTTTTTACAAAGGTTTTCTAAAGTTTTGTTTATTTGTTTGAGAAAGAGAGAGGATAAGCAAGGAGGGGAGGCAGAGGGAGAGGGAGAGAGGCAGACTCCCTGATGAGCAGGGAGACGACGACTCTGGGCTCCATCCCGAGGACGCTGGGTCATGACCTGAGCCCAAGGCAGCTGCTTCACCGCCGGAGCCCCCCCAGGCGTCCCCATAACCTTTATTAAGTGCAGTGATTCCTGGGTGTGGTCCTGTGATAAGCAGCAGGAGAATCACCTGGGAACTAGTCAGAAATGCGGGTTCCCAGGCCTACTCCAGACCTACCGATCCTGAAACGTGTGTGTGCTCAGGCTCTCCTGCAGGGGCTCTGACCTGACACAGCCCTTCTGGGGCACACTTGTGTCTGAAAAGCACGGATCCAGCCTGGCGGTTGCGCTCAGTAGGGGGCGACATGATCCCTTCCCTCAGCGGATCCTGAAACCCGATTTGGAAGGTTCTACGTCTCTGAACTAACAGCATTCACTTGGGGGCTCCATCAAAAATGTGGGGAAACAGGGGATCCCTGGGTGGCGCAGCGGTTTGGCGCCTGCCTTTGGCCCAGGGCGCGATCCTGGGGTCCCGGGTTCGAGTCCCGCGTCGGGCTCCTGGCATGGAGCCTGCTTCTCCCTCTGCCTGTGTCTCCACCTCTCTCTCTCTCTCTCTGTCTATCATGAATAAATAAATAAAACCTTTAAAAAAATGTGGGGAAACGAATACTCTTGGACCAGTCCCCTAAGGTTCCACGTGGTTATTTCAGCGGAGCAGGGGAAGGAGCCCCTGGAGGAACCGGAGGTGCCGAATTCCTACTTCAGAAGCTGCGGAGAAGGGCTTCAGGGGAGTATTGAAGAGGGCAAGGGCGCCGCCTCCTGGTGACAGCATGCAGGGCTGGCTCTAGAAGGGGCGAGGCCGCCTGACAAAGGGGGCTTTCGGTGTCCCAGGCGCACACCCTGTCCCTCTTGAACTGGCCGGTCAGTGCTGGGATGTTCCATCCATTCCTGCCGGCAGCTGGACTCTGGGCTAAATTCAACAAAGGCTTCGCGCCGCCCGACAGCTGTGTGTGGACGCTGCCATCCGTGCTGGGTCACCTCCATGTGGCTCCAGAATGCAGTGCTCTGCTCTGTTGCAGCCGGAGTTTTCTCCTGACTTGTTTTTAGCTGGGCTGATCGTAGAATGAACTTTGTACAGCAAATTACAACATCAGTTTCCAGTCGTGTCCTGAACTCCCCTGGGGGGCGTCTCTGGGACCCGCCACGGGGACCCCGGGGCTGCCCTCTGGAGGCTTCCTGGGCCGCCCCATGGTGGGCACGAGCTTGGGCGCCTCCTGCAGGCTTGCCTCTGGCTCCCCTCCTTTACTATGTCCTGTTGTGTCCATGGCCGCCCACGCTGTTATGTAGTCGACGTTTTTCTTTTCAATTAACTCTTTTTTTTTTAAGATTTTTATTTATTTTTATTCATGACAGACAGAGAGAGAGAGAGAGAGAGGCAGAGAGACGCGGGCAGAGGGAGAAGCAGGCTCCATGCAGGGAGCCGGATGCGGGACTCGATCCCGGGACTCCAGGGTCATGCCCCAGGTCGAAGGCGGTGCCAAACCGCTGGGCCACCGGGGCTGCCCCTAACTCATCCTTTTAAAAATTTTTTGAAGATGTTATTTATTCATGAGAGTCACAGAGAGAGAAGCAGAGACACAGGCAGAGGGAGAAGCAGGCTCCATGCAGGGAGCCCGATGCGGGACTTGATCCCAGAACCCTGGGATCACGCCCTGAACTGAAGGCAGACGCTCAACCGCTGAGCCACCCAGGGGCCCCTTAACTCATCCTTTTTTTTTTTTAAATTTATTTATTTATGATAGTCACACACACACACACACACACACACACACACAGAGGCAGAGACACAGGCAGAGGGAGAAGCAGGCTCCATGCACCGGGAGCCCGACGTGGGATTTGATCCCGGGTCTCCAGGATCGCGCCCTGGGCCAAAGGCAGGCGCCAAACCGCTGCGCCACCCAGGGATCCCAACTCATCCTTTTTTACTCAGGTTAATTTTCAGAGGAAATAAATGAGAAATAACGGACATGAATGGACAATCGGTAGTGGTCACCCCAAACCCGAGGTGATCGTAAAGACAAAGACAAGGCAGAGAAACTGCGCTGGGCCATTGCACCCTGATAGGCTGCAAAGGCAGGCACGAAACCGCCGAGCTACCCAGGGATCCCCCGGTTTTCATCGTTAGGACCGACCTAGAGACAGAGGCTGCTCTTACTCTGGTTTTACAGCGAGGAAATGGTCCAGCGGTTAGCGACTGGCCTGGGGCCGCAGGGCAGTGCCCTAGCCAGTGGTGGGGGGCGGGCGCACAGCTGGGTCCGCGCCCCTGGGCCACCCCCACAGCCGCACAAATGGGAAATGTAGCCCCACGGCGGATGAGGACCTGGCCAGAGTCAGAGCTGCTGTGAGCAGGCCAGCGGGCCTGGGCGCCCCAGGGGTGGCCGCCACGGGGTGCGCGTTCCTTCTAGGAAAAGTGCTGGAAGCAGGGCCAGGAACACCGGCCGTTGGGGCCAAGGCAGGGCTCCCGCTCCGGGCAGCTGGTCAGGCCGCTGCCGCGGGTGGGTTGGGATGGATCCTGGGGCCCAGGGAGGGGAGAGCGGGACTCGCAGGCGAGGAACACGCAGGGCCTGCCCACCCACCCTTCAAAGGCGGTGTCACGCTGTTACGCTGGGTCTGTTTTCGGGAGCTGCCCCGGACAGGCCCGGAGCCCCCCACTGACCTTGCCCATGGCTACAGCACGGAGCTCCCGCCTCCGCATTATCCGGGGAGGCCTCAGGGGGCCGTGCCTGCCCTTCGGTGGGGAAGGCTAACCGCCACCCCAGGGTCACAGCTTGCGAGTGGGGACAGGCTGAGTAGGAGTCGCTCTACAACAAAGCTCCTGCTCTTAGGAAGTGGTTTTGGAGGGATCCCTGCGTGGAACCTGCTTCTCCCTCTGCCTGTGTCTCTGTGTGTGTGTCTCTCTCTCAGGAATAAATAAATAAAAATATATTTTTTAAAAGATTTTATTTATTCATGAGAGACACAGGCAGAGGGAGAAGCAGGTTCCACGCAGGGAGCCCGACGCGAGACTTGATCCTGGGACTCCAGGATCATGACCTGAGCCCAAGGCAGACTCTTGACCGACTGAGCCACCCAGGCAGCCCCTCCAGGGGGATGATTACGTCTAGAGGCGTGCGGGTGTGCGCACTTTCCCCCTCCCCGCCCCCACCCCCACCCTCACTGGTGATGGTCTACTATTTGCCGTGTTTTCATCTTTTTATTTTTTTATTTTTTAAAGATTTTTATTTATTTATTCGAGAAACAGAGAGAGAGGCCGAGACACAGGCAGAGGGTGAAGCAGGCTCCCTGCAGGGAGCCTGACATGGGACTTGATCCCGGGTCTCCAGGATCCAGCCCTGGGCTCAAGGTGGCGCTAAACCACTGTGCCACCCGGGCTGCCCTGTTTTCATCTTTTTAAAATTATTTTTATTTTCTTGGTTGAACAACGTGGCTTAGAGATTCCGGTTCCCCGTGGGTTCACAAAGGGCCTTGTCCTCCCCTCTGCACCACCTCTCCCCCCGGCAGGCCAGCCGGGCCTCCCCGGGTTGCCAGCGGCCTAAGGGATCAGGAACTGGTCACAGCCTGGGGCCAACGAGTCAGGTCAGGCTGAGAGGACCCCAGCAGGGTCCGCATCTCACAGCCACCACCCGGCAGCCTTCATCCCCGCTGAGCAGCAGCGGCCGGCCTGTGGGCACTGGCATGGGGCAGAGGTCCCTAGCCGGGTCCCTAAAGCCTACCCTGCGCCCCCCCACCCCCGGCCCGAGGGACGAGTCTTGGGGCAGAGGGGCCAGCCCTTCCCGGGTGGGGCTCCCAGCCCCACACCCACTTCCCAGACCTAAACCTGGGAAGGGTCCCTATTGCCAGCACCCTAACGACTGAGCTGGGGCTGCAGCTGGAGCTGGGGGGACCCTGAGGTCTGTGGTTAGGCGAAGAGACAAGGCCCGTCCGTCTGTCCGTGTCCAGCAGACTCAGGCCGTGAGAGGGTAGCTTCTGGAGGCTTCCTGGAAGAGGTGGTCCTGGAAGAACAAGTGCTGTTGGCTGGAGGGAGGGGCGGGGCAGGGTGAGGATCCCCGGGTGCAGGGAGGCTGGGAGTGGTGGGAAGTGTGATGGGCAAAGGCCGGCAGGTGTCAGGGTGGGGTGAGCAGGGCCGCTGTGGGAACTGAGGACCCTCAGCTGGCCCCAGGAGGGCGTGCGTGGGTGCAGGTGGGGGTGGGGTGGGGAAAGGCTGGGGGCACTCTCCTGGGCCTGGGTCATGCCACACACACTGCAGACTCTGAAGAGTGGAGGGCCCGAGGGTGCCTCAGTTTCCCCTGGCGCACAGGGAAGGGCGGTCACATTTCTCAGACGAGGGGCAAGTCCTTGGGGCGCCGCCCTGGTTCTGCACAGGATTCAGCGGCCGTGGTGGCCAGCCCACGGGGGGGGGGGGTGGTCCCCAGGGCTCTGAGCTCCGTGCTGGGCGTGGGCTCCGGCTCCGGGGCCGATTCTGCAGCCCTTCCTGACCTGGCCTTTGCGGCCCCAACTCTGGGAGCGTGAAACTAGCTTCCGTGGGAGCATTTACACCACAGAGGTGGGCAGAGGCCACAGGGTGGGGCTTGTACTACAGGCTGGCACGCTTCCAGGGCACCCCCCCCTCCTGACCCAGTGCAGAGTCACGTCATCTTCCCGGTTCTGCTGCAGTTTCCTGGCCTGTGAGGTCTGAGCCCACCTCTCAGGTTCCGTGCAGAACCCGAGTGTCCGTGGGTGTGTTTTATAGGCTGGAGGAAACCTCCTGCGTCACTGCCTCGGCCAGAAATCTTGGTCTCCGCGAAACCCGAGAGGAAATTGCAGGTAAAGGTATCTGGACCCGTCCATTTAGCCCCAAGTCCACTCTGCCCCCCGGATGTTCTGTCCAGACCCCCGAGGGACCGTCCTAACTGGCCGCCCCTCTTCCCGAGCCCTGGCGGTCCCATGTTCCTCTTATCCTTGGTCTCGAATCAGGCGTGTCCCGTGTCACCTGGCCAGGGGCTCCCTGTGTCCACGGCAGGCTCATCGTGTACCTGTCCTCGCCTACCGGCCTCCAAGCATCGGCCTCCCTCCTCTTCCATGAACGTGAGGACCAGTCCCACCTAGGGGGCCCTCACTCACTCACTCTCCCATCCTGGGATCCCGTGGCCGGCTCATCCTCATCCAGGTCTCCCGTGGCCCCCTGTCCTCTCCCTGCCCTGGCACCTGACCCTGGCTCAGTCATCCCTCACTGATATGTTCAGTTCCTGTTGCCCATCCCCTGTGGCCCCTAAATCACAAACTCCAGGGTGCAGGGCTCAGGCTGCCTGGGTCACTGCGGATCCCCAGAGCCCAGGCCAGGGCCTGACCCTGAGCAGGCTCCTGCTGTGTGGTCTGGGAAGGAACGTGTGCGTGATGTGCTTCTGCTCGGGCTGGAGGGTCACGACACCCCAGGGCAGAAGCAAGGTGGGGCTGTCACACAGCAAGCTGAGTCCACCTGTGTCCCAGGACCCCTGCCCCCTGGGCTGTCCCTGCACACCTGACCCCCATGGCTTCGGAGTTCTCGCTTGTCCCTGGTGGAGCATGGAGGCCTTGCAGGCAGGCAGGGAGGAGGCTGCGGAGGGTTCGGGTCTCATGGGCCCCGCTGCTCTGGGAAGACCTGCTCCAAGCCTAGGGCAGAGCGGCTGGAGGGGGCCTGCAGGGGTTCCCGAGGACTGACGCCTCTCTGCCTCGGTGTGTGGGGGCCCAGGTCAGCAGTGGGGGCGCCAGGCTGGAGCAGCAGGGAGCACGGGCCCATCCTCCCCTCCACCTCCTGGGCTTCTGACCTTGAGCGGTGGGCATTATGCGACCTTGGCCAGAAGAATCACAGCCACCAGCATTCCCATCACCAAGGGGGGCTGGCCACTTGGAAGGAGGGCAGACCCTGAGGAAATTCAGAGCATCCAGTGAATGAGAGAAGTGGGAGCATGTCCCTCACCCCCCCAAAAGCCCCCTGACCTCGGCCCTCACCAAGGCCCCTCCCCTGCTGAGCAGGGCCTGCACACCTCTAGCTGGGCCCCCACTGGGGTCTGCCATTCATCAGCTCCCAGGGGACCTGTGCCCCTGGGGATTGGCTGGCGTGGCTATAAGGGCGTGTGGGGGGGAGGCTGATAGAGGAAGACGCGGAAGGAGCCGTCACGTGGCCACGCAGGAGAGCAGGTGCCCCGCGGTGGACTTCCCCGGGGCCTGTCCTGGGGGCAACCACCTGCCTCTCTGGCCCACCGTGTCCGCAGCCTCACAAGGCTGCTCACATCCACCTGCTGTCCCCTCTCTGCTGCCAGGACACGCAGAGTGCGCTGTTTGGTGTCGGGCCCGAGATGTGCCCAGGGTCCGGGACCGGGAAAGAAAAGGCGGCCCCACGCGGCTGACGGCGCTCGCTGGTCAGGGCGGTGCAGGCCCACGCCGTCTGCGCTGCCTGGTGGCGGGATGGGCGGCACCTTACCTGCGGGGGTGCTGGCCGTCCTGCTGCTGGTTCCCTGGAGCGTGGGTGGCGGGGTGCTGACGGGCCCGTTGCTGGTTTCCTGAATCATGGGCAGCAGTGTGCTCAGGAGCCCATCGTTGGCCTCGGGCACGATGCCCAGCAGTTTGCACATGAGCTCGTACACGTGGACGCTCTCGAACGGCTCCACCTCCAGGCCTCTCTTGAAGTTGGGGCCCACGGCTCGGAAGATGGTCTTCATGTCCATGACGTCGTTGTGAAAACCGTGCTCCCCGTTGTTAAACTGGACGTTCACTCTCTGCCGGGGAGGGAAGGCCCTGAGCCTTTGCAGGGACTCCCCGCCCACCCCCCCTCTCTGCCAGCAGCACCCCTGCGGGGGCAGAGGACCCCTGGGAGGGGGTTACACGTGGGGGCAGAAGGGTTTCTCTGAATCTTGAGCCCCAAAAGATCCCTGGCCCGAGGGAGGGCCCCTCGGGGAAGACTAGGTGCTGACCCCAAGCACACGGGGAGGAGCTGTGAGCACAGGGCGCCTGTGCACGCCAGCGCTCCCTTTCCTGATCCTGACGCCCAGCCTGCATCTCCTTGGGGGTCCCTCGGCTCTCGGCGGACGGCGCAGTGGCCCCCTCGCCCTCGCTTCTCTCTGGTTTCTTATGGCCAGTCTCCCCACACATACGCACAAGTGACCGTGCACACGCCCACACACAAATCTCATGCATTCACACACATGTACACTGTGTACGTGCACACACGCTCCTATTGCATCGTGACGGGTGTGTCCCTTTGGTGGCCAATGCCGCTCAAACCGGGGATGTGTGAGAAATAGGGGGAGGGGCGCTTTTTACAGAAATGGAGAGAGGCCCAGCAGCCCAGGGAAGGAGCCCGCGCCCCGCCTGGAGCCCCGCCCGGGGCAGGCAGCTCACCCCATGGATGACGTAGCCGGGGTCACTGTACATGAGCAGGGGGGTGATCCTGGGGTTCCTGGCGTAGTGGAGGGACGCGGGGAAGGACTCCTTCTTGTAGACGTGGAGCTTGGGGTGGGCATCCTTGATGAGCTCGTACACCTTCTCCAGCATCCCCTCCTTGGGGAGCAGCATCCCATTTGGCCCGTAGTCCAGGAGCTCGAACTCGATGTCCTTGAAGGTAAAGTTGGGGAACTTGTGGAACTCCACCAGGTCCTGGGCGGTCTTGTTGACGGTGCTCATGCCGTGGTCGGACGTGATAATCAGGTTGAGGCTGTCCTCCAGGCCACTCCTCCTGATGCTGTCACGGAGGTAGCCCACGGTCCTGTCCACCTGCATCACCATGTCCTTCCTCTGCTGGGACTCGGGGCCGTACTTGTGGCCCGTGGAGTCGGGCTCCCCAAAGTAGAGCGTGACCAGGTCCAGCCCCTCCTCCGTGAACCACTTCATCACCGTGTCGATGTTGGCCTTCCATTCCACCTCATCTTTGTAGTTGTGCAGAGCGCCTTCCTTCCGGCTCAGCGTCACCGCCAGGCCTTGGTAGGTGACATTCCCGCCAGGGTAGAAGAAGGAGCCCGTCCGCAAGCCCTGCCAGGGAAGGCGGCGGCGGTAAAGCCCACAGGCGCCCTGGGGCTCGCCCCTGCCTCTCCCTGCCGCTGTCACACGGCCCCCAGCCCACCCGCCTCTCCTCCTGCCCGCTCACAGTCCTGCTCCCCCCACGGGCACCCCCTTCTTTTTGGGAAGGGCTTTCATAAGTCTTATCTTACATTCCCAGGGCCGATACTGATTGTGTGGAAGAGCGAGCGGGTGCCCAGTGGACTCAGCACTAGTGAGATAATGGATATAATAGTGCCCTCAGATACGCAGTGTCCCCATCGTCACCATGGCTCTGGGTCCTCGTCCCCAGGGCCGAGCTGCCCAGACCGCCCTCCCCTTCTGGCCTGGAGCCTGGCGTCTCCCTAATATGGTTTGGTCTCGTCCAGACCCTGCCACCCCTGTCCCCTCGCCTGCCCTTCCAGCCTTCAGCCTGGCCATCCATCTGTCTTGCCCATAAATCGATGGCTGCGTTATTTACAGATCCATCTGTCCTTTCCGCCCCACGTCCGTGCTCGCCCTGTCTGCGTGTCCGCTCCCCAGCTGCCCTGCTGTGTGGACCGAGCACCGTGAGATGCCAGGCTCTCAGCTCCTGCGAGCGAGCCCGATTTCCAGGTGGCTCCCTCCAGGGTGAAGGACTCCGACCTGAGTGGACGCCCTGCCTAGAGGGTGGCGGTAGGCTCCGAAGTTCACCCTGCTCATCTTGGAAACCTCTGCTTGACCCCGTCGACGAGAAGCCACACCTCTGGGGCCAGAAACCCCCAGAGCGCTGCGGGATGGAGGGGTTCCGGGGCGCAGCCCCACAACCCACCTCTACCTTATCTCTGGCCCGCTGGAAGTCGGCTGCCCAGCCCGGGGAGGGATCCAGAAAGGGGAAGGCAGAAAGCTGTTTTATCATTACCTGCCCCCTCCCTTTTTTAAAAATTCATTTATTTATTCAGAGAGAGAGAGAGGCAGAGACACAGACAGGGGGAGAAGCAGGCTCCATGCAGGGAGCCCGACGTGGGACTCGATCTCGGATCTCCAGGATCACACCCCGGGCTGTAGGTGGCGCTAAACCGCTGTGCCACCAGGGCTGCCCGTTACCGGCCTTTATGCTGGGTGAGGTTATTTTTCCGGGTGGACCGGACCCCCTTCTCCCAGAGCCAGGGGCCAAGGCTGCGGGGAAGATGCTGCCCGTGGTGGATGCTCCTCAGCACCTGGGACCGCCCCCGCCCTCGGGGACCCACTTAGCACCCCTCTCTGCGGGGAGCCCAGCACTCGGGTGGGGGGAAGGAACTGCGTGGGCCTCATGAGGTCTCATGGCCTTTCTGGGCCAGGTCCTTCCTGTCCCCCGTCCCCGGACCGCCGTCCGTTACCTGCTTCTGGGCTGTGATCCAGATGGGCAGGCTGCCGTTGTCCCACCACCGCTGGACGCCGAGCGTGGCGTGGTAGGGCAGCTTCACCTTGCTGGTGGTGTTGTAGAACATGTTGTGCACCACCCCGTGGTTCTCGATGTATTTGCCTGCGGGGAGGAGACACGAGGGGAGGGAGGAGATGGTGGGAGGGAGCCGGGCAGGCTTTCTCACACGCTGCCCTGCTGGTGGGAGCCCACGTTCCTCCCTCGGGGGTCGCAGGCAGCCCTCCCCATTCCTGAGGTAGGTCCTGCTTGCGGGGATGTCATGGGCAGCCTCATGGCTTTCGGCAAAGCCCCGGAGCGACCCAGATGGCCGGCAGGAGGGAACGGATGAAACAGTCACGGCCCAGCCACACAGCAGAAGCCCCAGCAGAAGCCCAGACGCACCACGGGAGTTCCACCCACGAGATATCGTCTAAAAATTCACTTCTAGCTACGAGAGGAGTGGGGCTGAAGTGTGGGCCCCCTTCCCCCATCCGGGACCTATTAAGGAAACAGGTGCAACACAGGACAGAGGACCAGATGTGGCAGCGGGGGCGGGGGGCATGGTCACAGAACACTGGCATGAGGATGAGCCCTCTGGACAGAACAGGGTCCCTCCCCCCGCCCCCCAAGGCCCCGTCCAACCCGGAGCCTCAGCAAGTAACCTTGCTTCGAAATAGGGTCTTTGCAGATGTGACTAGTTAGGTTAGGATGAGGACCCTACGTCTCTGGATGAGCATCCTCACGAGACAAGGAGAGACACGTGGGGGGAAGACAGCCCACAGGGTTGGAGGGACAGACCACGGGAGCTGGGAGCGGCAGGAAGGGTCCCCTAGTGTCTCCAAAGGGAGCGCGGCCCTGCTGACACGGCACCCTAGACCTCCAGGAGCGATGGGGGGTTTGAGGGGTTTGAGGGCATCCGGGGGCCGCAGGCTCATCTCTCCCACCTGTCTGGAACCCGGCCACACTCACTTCCTCCAGGACCCGCCCGGGGTTGTCACCTTGGTTGGGGTCACCGTTTAAAACGAGACCACTGGGCAGTTTTATGGCTTGTGTATGTTCCCACCAATGGTATGGCCTGCTGACAATCCCCCTTGGCCATGCTGTGTCTCCCTGGAGACAGCGTGTCCCCCGCCCCTGTCACCTTTGTCCCCGTGGGCCCCCGGGGGACAGGGCTCTGTGCAGACGGGGGTTTTTCCTTCCTCGGGTTGCTCAACCCTCTCCCTGCCCCAGGCCCCACCCTGAGGCCCATGCTCACCTGTGACCAGGGTGAAGTGGCAGGGGCTGGTCATGGTGACGAAGGCCGGGGTCATGTAGCGGGCCTTCACCCCGTCCAGCGCCATGGCGTCCAGGTTCGGGGTGTGCACGTCCTGGTCGTAGTTCCAGCGGAAACCATCAAAGGACACCAGCAACAGCTTGTTGCGGGCGCCCTTCCTGCCCACTGGAGCCCCTGCCCCCGGAGCCAGGAGGGTGGCCAGAGCCAGGGCCAGGAGGACCGCCAGGCGCCCCATGATGGGCCTTCCAGACACCAAGGCGTCCGGGGTGGTTCCTGCGGAGGAGCAAAGTCTCAGGGTCAAGCAGGCCAGACTTACCCCGTCCGTGCCTCTTTGAACACGAGACTGCACGTACCTGCTTCTCCGAAGCAGCCCTGGCCACAGCGTGCCTGCCACCCCGGCCCAGCCCTCGCACATCTCCCTTTATTGCCAGCAGAGCCTTCTGGGCCGGGTGCTCCTCCCCCCAGTGCACCTGTGTCCTCACGGGGAGGACGGACACCAGCCCGCGGGCCTGTCCCCACTCCACCTCTCCCAGCTCCGCTCGGCCCTGTGCCCTGCTCGCCCTGACCCCAGAGCACTGGGAGGGGCCCCCCTCCAGCTTGTACGTCGGGGAGAGCTCTGGGGTACATGGGTCTCTGACCTGCCCGGGTCAGGGCTAGCGGGTGGGCTTCCCAAGATCTGGGAGCCAAGGGCCAGCAGCTCAGCCCAAGGCTGGCCTTGTCTGCAGGAGCCCCAGCTAGGGTGGGCGACCTTCCCCGCCCCGCCCTTGAAGGGGCATCCTGGGATGGGGCGGGACAGCTCCAGCCTGCTGGCCGGGATTAGCGCCCCTGCACCTGCCTCCTTGGGTCCAGGGGAAGCTCAGAGAGCACGTGGGGGCTGAGGGGGCCTCACTGTGGACTTCATCAATGAGGTGGTCAGACGAGGGGGCTGCCCCGTTTCCCATGCTCATGGGGGTGGGTGTGTGTGGGAAGGGACCCTGAGTTTCGGGTCGCAGCCCCCTCCCCCGTCTCTGATTCTGTCCCTCTCCCTCTCACAGAACCCACGAAGTGAGTCAGGCACGCTCTCAACTTGGGGGACACAGCAGTAAATGAGACAGACCGTCCTGGTAAATAAGTAAACCAGTAAAATAGTGAGGCTGGGGAGGGGCAGCACCTGGGGGGTGGCAGGAAGAGGAGGTGAGCAGGGGCAGGGGCCTGGTGGGCGGTGGCACCTCCAGGGTCTGGCATTCTTATGCAGGGCCGGGGGAGGGGTGGGGTGGGGGGAAGCCAAGGAAATGACAAAACCTGATCTAACGTTTTGTTTTTTAACTTGTCAATTAGCTTATTTTTAAAATAAAGTTCGGGGCATGCCTGGGTGACTCCGTTAGGCATCTGCCTTCGGGCTCAGGCCGTGACCCCTGGGTCCTGGGATCGGGATCGGGTCCGCATCGGGCTCTCCGTAGGGCACCTGCTTCTCCCTCTGCCTGGGTCTCTGCCTCTCTGTGTGTCTCTCAGGAGTGAATAAGTAAAATATTTTAAATAAATAAATAAATAAACTATTTTATTTTATTTTATTTATTTATTTTTTATTTATGATAGAGAGAGAGAGAGAGAGAGAGAGAGAGAGGCAGAGACACAGGCAGAGGGAGAAGCAGGCTCCATGCACTGGGAGCCTGATGTGTGATTCGATCCCGGGTCTCCAGGATCGCACCCTGGGCCAAAGGCAGGCGCCAAACCGCTGCGCCACCCAGGGATCCCCTGTATTTTATTTTTTAAAGATATTTTATTTATTCATGAGAGACACAGAGAGAGAAGCAGAGACCCAGGCAGAGGGAGAAGCAGGCGCCCTGTGGGGAGCCCAACGTGGGACTGGATCCCGGGACCCCGGGGTCACGCCCTGAGCCCCTGAGCCTGAAGGCAGATGCTCAACCACGGGGCCAGCAGGCGTCCCTAACCTATTTTTAGAGCCTGTGGGGCGGGAGTGGGGGGAGGGGCAGAGGGAGAGAGACTCTCAGGCCGACTCCCCGCAGACCAGAGCAGACCGGAGCCGGAGCCGGGGTGGGGGGTGATGGGGGGGGCAAGCATCCCACCGGGGTCACATCCTAGGAGCTGCTCCCACGCAGGTGTCCAGGCGCTGCTACGTCCTGATTTAACTTTCCCTCCTCTGTGGACCTGCGAGCGGCGGCCCAGCCTTAGGACTTTGGCTGCAGCAAGCAGGTGTTCTCGTCAAGCGCTTCCCAGCTCACGGGGCTGCGGGGCCGTCAGAGCCTCCCGAGGGGTGGCCCGGGGACCACCGGTGCAGATTCTTGCCCCCCCCCCCCTGGACCTGCTGAAACACACCCTGCGAGGAGGGCACCGCAGCTGCAACCCGGGACAGGTGGACCGCTCGGGCTCCTAAAACCAGCGTGGGCGGGTGGGGGCGGGGCCGCCACGTGGTGGGCCAGGGCACAGCAGGTGCAGGAGCGCGGCGGGGCGGCGGCCTCCCTCCACCGCCCCACGCCACGGGGCGCCAGCTCCACGGCAGGACCGGGCAGCTGCGTCCGCGTGGCGGCAGGTGCGCTGGGAGAGGACGGCATTTACACGGTGTCGGAGGAGGAGGGACCAGGAAGGCTGCTCGGAGGCCCACGGGGCAGATAGGCCCAGGCTGCAGAGTGGGCAAGGAAGCCTTCCAGGTCGGGGCGACGTGCAGGTGAAGGACTGCCGGGGATCGCGAGGGCGGTGAGGCGGAGGAGGGGCGAGGTCCAGGGGAAGGCAGACGGGCAGGCCGAGGGGAGCCCGAGCCGAGGCTAGTAGCCTCCCAGAATAAAATGGCTGCCACGGATGAAGACTACATTTCCCAGCACCCCCTTCAGCGAGGGGCGCCCATGTGACTCCGTTCTGGCCAATGGGGAGAAAGGCAAGTGTCACGTGACAACCCCAGCCTCTTCCTCGTGGAGTCTGGCGCCCGCCGCTCCCTGCCGCTGCGGGGTGGCGGGGGCCCGCGGTGGACGGGGAGGGTTCCCGGGCGGCGCGGGCGGGCGCCGAGGGGGCAGACGTGCACGCTCCCCGTCTTGCTTCTGTGTCCTCGTCGGGGTGTTCCGTGGGGCTCAGCAGGGCCCGCCCCGGGCTCCGGAGGCCTTCCCGGGTTTAAGTAGGGAGGTGACCTGAAATGCGGGGTTGGGCAGGGGGAGGGGGAGGAGGAGGAGGCGGGCCGACGCGGTGGTCCCTGGTGCGGGTGCACAGGCCGGGGTCGGCGTGAGGCCCGCGGCTCCCGGCGCAGGTGCGTCCGGGGTTGGCATGTGGGTGCGGGGTTGGCAGGTGCGTGCATGGGTTGGCAGGTGGGTGCGGGGTTGGCAGGTGGGTGCGGGGTTAAGGTGCGTGCAGGGGTTGGCAGGTGCGTGCGGGGTTGGCAGGTGGGTGCGGGGTTGGCAGGTGCGTGCGGGGTTGGCAGGTGCGTGCGGGGTTAAGGTGTGTGCAGGGGTTGGCAGGTGCGTGCGGGGTTGGCAGGTGCGTGTGGGGTTAAGGTGTGTGCAGGGGTTGGCAGGTGCGTGCGGGGTTGGCAAGTGCGTGCGGGGTTGGAAGGTGCGTGCAGGGTTGGCAGGTGGGTACAGGGTTGGCAGGTGCCTGCGGGATTGGCAGGTGAGTGCAGGGGTGCGGGTGGCGAGTCCCGGGTGACCTGTTCTCCCCGCGCATGTTCTCCCGCTGGCCCCCGTGTGTGGGGGCGGCGGGGGTCCAAGCGTCCTGCTCACCCTCGCCTGCCTGCTGGGCCCGGCCTGGAGATGGTGGGAGAGGTCGGCTCCCTCGGCCTCCACGTCTCAGGCGGCCTTCCTGTCTGTGTCTTTCTGTATCTCCCTCGTGGCTCACCCTCCATCGAGTTCCTTTTCCTTCCAGGGACCCCAAGAGCACCTCAACCAAGAGGGTGCTGCAGGGCATTTCCCGTTGACCAAGCCCTGGCTTTGACCATGGTCTCCATCAAGCTTCGAGGAGGTTCTGGAAGGCAGGTGTTAGTAATACCCTCACTGTCTGTGTGGGGAAACCGAGGCAGAGAGGTTGCAGGTCACAGAGCAAATGGAGGAGCCCACACTTGGACCTAGACTCCAGGACCCTGCTTTGAACCAGTTTTATTTTTTTTAAATTTTTTTAATTAATTAATTAATTAATTTTAATTTTTTATTTATTTATTTATGATAGTCACAGTGAGAGAGAGAGAGGGGGGGGGGCAGAGACATAGGCAGAGGGAGAAGCAGGTTCCATGCACCGGGAGCCTTGACGTGGGATTCGATCCCGGGTCTCCAGGATCGCGCTCTGGGCCAAAGGCAAGCGCTAAACCACTGCGCCACCCAGGGATCCCTGAACCACTTTTAAATGCCACCAGTGTACTGGCCGCTCAGGACTGTGTCGTGGGGCTCTGGGTCTGTGAATATGGTGGGACCACTGACTTTTTTTTCCCCCTTTTACGCTCATATTGCTTCTTTGGGGTGCACCTGCTAGGAAGGGGTCCTTGGACAAGGATGGGAAGGCTGCTGGGTCCTTACAGTCGTATTGCTGTCGGGAACCACCAGCCGTGACTTGTCCTATCTCCTCTGCCCCACGATATCCATTGGGTTTTGTTTTGTTTTAAATTTAATCTATTGATGAGACAGAGAGAGAGAGGCAGAGACACAGGCAGAGGGAGAAGCAGGCTCCATGCAGGGAGCCCGACGTGGGACTCGATCCCGGGACCTCAGGATCACACCCTGGGCGGAAGGCAGGCGCTAAGCCGCTGAGCCACCGGGGCTGCTCGGGTTTTGTTTTTTTCTTCCTTTGTGTGCTCAACAGGGGTGTAGTGATGCCTGAAAGCGCTACCCCAGAGAGGCTGGGAGGTTCTCCATGTCACACTTCTTATTTCTGCTCCCCGTTGGTCATCTCCGACCCTTGGCCGGGAGGTCCCCACGCTCATGGAATCTTAGGGCTTAATCGGCTCTGTATGTCTTCTGCAGTGTGTCTGTTCTGGAATCTATAGCGTGTAATCTTTCATAGGCATTCACCATTTATCTTTGTCGCTCGTGACTTCCCCACCTCTCTTGCACACTGGTCATTGTTCAGGTAGAGGGTAGACCTGACGACCCCTGAAGACAGGACTTGCCGTGTTGTTCATTGTCAGGTTCCCCAGAGCCTGGCACAATGGCCAGCCCAGGGAGGCGCTCAACCTGTATTTGTTGGATGAATAAATACGCTTAGCAGGGAAATTTGTGCAAATATCTTTGGTACTTTTGGTTAGGGAAGACATTGAAATCAACCCTTTATTCGATAATGATCTTAGGTTTTTTTTTTTTTTAATTTTTATTTATTTATGATAGTCACAGAGAGAGAGAGAGAGGCAGAGACACAGGCAGAAGGAGAAGCAGGCTCCATGCACCGGGAGCCCGACGTGGGATTCGATCCCGGGTCTCCAGGATCGCGCCCTGGGCCAAAGGCAGGCGCCAAACCGCTGCGCCACCCAGGGATCCCTAAACTCTAATTGATCTTAGGTTTATGGAAACATTGCAAAGGTGGTCGAGTGCCTTCCTACCCCGGGCCGGGTTTCGGGTTTCCTCCCCTCCTCCAAGGTACATTCCGCGGTGTATTCGCACGACACGACACGCGACACGACACGCGAGCAATATCGGGGAGTTCTTACTCTATTCAGTATCGACACGGCCCTATTCTGCTCAGAGTTCCTCAGGGCCCTACCGCCCTGGCTCTGTTCCAGGATCCCATTAGGTCATCACCAGGTCTCCTGGGTTCTTGGCCGTGACAGTTTCTCGGACTCTCCTTGTTTTTTGATGACCTTGACGGTTCAGAGGAGTGCTGGGCAGGCGTTTTTAGAATGTCCCTCAGCTGAAATTATCTTTTCTTTTTCTCTTGGGTAGACGGGGTGGGGGTGGGGTTATGGGTTTTTGGGAGGAAGGGCACAGAGATAAAAAGCCTCATTCCCATTATATCATATCAAGGGTACATCCTATCAACATGACTCATCACTGCTGCTGTGGCCTTGATCCCCTGGCCAAGATAGTGTCACCAGGCCTCTCCGCGGGGCGGCCACTCTTTCTTGCCCTCTCTCTTCTTTGGAAGGACGGTCACTGTGTGCCACCCCCTCTTCAGGAGTTGAGGGGTCATGCTCCACCTCTGTGGGGGCCGAGTATCTACGGACATTGGAATTCTGAGCAGATTTGTCTCTTCTCCTTGTTTGTTCATCTGTTCAATAATTGATACCAGTATGTAACCCACTGCCCCCTGATTGATTTTGTTGCTCTGATTGCTCCATCTCTGGCCACCGGGAGCTCTCTCCGTTGGCGCCTGGATCCCTTTGTCATGCCCGTCGCCTTGTTCCTTGACCCCAGGACGCACCAGGCTCCTCTCAGTGTATTCGTTTCTCAAGGGGCCTGGTTCCTTTTGTTGGCGGGGGATATTAGGGACCGAGAGCTGGGTGTGACAAGCGACAGCGCCGTCGTTTCTGGCCATGAGCGAGGCTCTGTCCCCATCTGGTGTGGTGCCTGGCACACAGTAGGCACGAAGGCAAGAAGGCATGGGTGGCACAAGCAGCGTCTGGACCCTGACAGATCTCGTGGCTTCTCCTTTGTCTCTATGCAGCAGTTGGAGTGGTTTCTCCAAACCAGGAATCCTTGTCTCCCCATCTGCCCCCGCCCCGGCCCCATGTAGCCCCTGGGCTGGTGCTGCCTGCCAGGGAGATGCCCTGGTGGGGGGGCTGGGCACACGGGCGGGCGCTCCAGCTGTGGGCTGTCCCCTCTGCTGGGGGAGTGTGGAAGTCCTGAGCCCGCCCTCTCCATTTCCACGGTGACAAGTGGCAAATGTGGGTCTAACGGTCTCCCTCGATGCCCGGTCCATGCCCTTTGGGAAGGAAAGCAGTGGTGTCGCTGACACACTATTGACTTTTGGGGGGCGCTGAATGGAGAGCAGCCTGATTATGTTGTTAAGCTGCCTTCAGGAGGGAGGGGAGCACAGAGTTTGAGCAGATGACCTTTCCCAAACAGGGCCCCGGGTGTGGCCGTGCCATCCTGGGAGGCGGTCCCTGGGCACCCCCGCTGGGGCTGCATAGGGTGCTTCATCCTCGTGTCCCGGGGAGGCCTGAGCCGTTGAGCCCGGGACCGGTGTCCGGGGGGCAGTGGGAGGCCAGACTGGCCTGGGCTCGGCAGGTGTGCCGCCAGGAGGCCCCACCGTCTTTGTGACCAGGTGGGGTCCCCGCCGGGGGGAGACAGTGGCCCAAGGCTGGGGGTTCCTTCCCAAGGAGAGTCAGCCCCCCTCCGCTCCCTCTGCTGGAGCTGCGAGCAGACCCCCCACGGTGAGCGCCCTCCTGTCGCTGTGGGGGAGGCGGTCACCCCCTACCCCCCACCCCCACCCCGGCGGCTGGGACCTGCCTGGTGGTTCTCGATGACAGGGGCCTGACCCGACCTTCACGACGGCGGGATTTTATTAGTGCAACGACAATCCACTTTATCAATTGCTGCGCCTTTTATTACCACTCAGGAGCTTTATCTCAGCGGCCACCTCGCCTCCAGCTAAATGAGGATTAATATTTTAACAGGATTATGTGCTGTGGGTTAGCAGTACTCCCTGGGGACGCCGGGGCTCCCCTCCCTCATGGCCTCTCCCCTTCCCCCCAGGCCTCCCTCCTGGCGTGCAGGGAGGTGGGGTTCTGAGGTCGGGGAGCTGGGGCCACCTGGTTCCGGACTCCAGGATGGGGGGTGGGAGGGAGGGCCCTGTTTGTCCCAGGGTAGGGATGGCTCTGCACGGTGAGGTCCCCGGAGGGACCAGACTGTGTCCTGGGGTCAGTGGGCTTGACCACCACGCAGGGGGTGGGGGGAGAGAAGGGAGGAAGATGGAATGGGAGCTGGGGATGGGGAGGGGGGAGAGGGAGAGATGCCCACTTGCCCCAGTCTCTCAGCCTGAGTGACACAGCCTCTAAATTTGCTGTATCAGGCCTTCTGGGACTTTCTCCTGGAAAAATACTTCCATTCCCACCAACATTTATAAAAACGAGACTGTTCCCATCCCCCTCCTGATTCCATCATATAAGGGACAAAACCCAGGATCTCAGGTGGGGCTTCCAGGAGCTCCACACTTGCCATGTGGATCCCCCAGGCCCGTGTCCAGGGGACACCTGCATACTCCCCTTCCCATCGCCTTCCCAACTGGATGAAGGGCCGCCCCCACCTTGGGGGCTCTTCCACATGGCCCCAGGCAGAGTCGGGGCCTTTGTGATTCTTTTGCCGAACCACTTGTCACCTCTTTCGAACCACTTGGAATTTCCCCACCACTGGGAATGAATGAGAGAGGCAGGCAGGCAGGTGTTCCCTTGAGGGGCCCGGGCTGATGTTTGCACACCCGTGTTCACAGCGGTGATTCACAAGAGCTAGAACACGGAAGCAAGGCGGGTGTCCATCATCGGATGAGGGTCTGTCCATGCAGTGGGTTATCATGCAGCCTCAGACAAGAAGGACGTCCTGACACCTGCTGCAGCGCGGACGGACCTGGAGGAGGAGCCAGCCAGTCACCAGAGGACAAGCGGTGTAGGATTCCATTGAGGTGAGGTTCCTAGAGTCCTCAGGGTCACAGAGACGGAGCCTAGGATGTGGGCCGGGGATGGAGTGTTGAACGGGGACGGAGCCTCCCTTTGGGGTGGTAACAGAGTTGCACAACACCATGAATGTGAATTGCACATTAAATAAAAATAAAAAAAATAAAAATACCCTGGAATCCTGTGGCCTTTTTAAACTTTTTTTTTTATTTATTTTTATTTTTTTTTAAATTTATTTATTTATTTATTTATTTATTTATTTATTTATTTATGACAGTCACACACAGAGAGAGAGAGAGAGAGAGAGGCAGAGACACAAGCAGGCTCCATGCACCGGAAGCCCGACGTGGGATTCGATCCCGGGTCTCCAGGATCGCGCCCTGGGCCAAAGGCAGGCGCCAAACCGCTGCGCCACCCAGGGATCCCTTTTTTTTTATTTTTTAAAGATTTTATTTATTTATTCATGGGAGGCACAGAGAGGGAGGTAGAGTCACAGGCAGAGGGAGAAGCAGGCTCCCTGCGGGGACTCGATCCCAGGATCCCGGGGTCACACCCTGAGCCGAAGGCAGATGCTCAACTGCTCAGCCCCCCGGGGGCCCCCATCCTGGAGCCTTTCTGAGATGCTAAGGACGTGAAGGGGGGAATCTGCACTCGGTTGGAGAATTCTAGATTCTATCTGGTAGGTAAAGAGACAGTTCCCCCGAAAGGACGGACAACTCCGGGGAGGTCCCAGCTGGGTCAGGGGCTTCCAGACAAGGACAAGGGGTCCCCGCCCTTGGTGGAGGGCAGACACGGGAACCACCAAAATCACGGTCATAAGACGTCTACCCATCACCCTCCCATTTTACAAATGAGTAAAATACTTTTATTTTTTATTTATTTATTTTTATTTTTTGAGTAAAATACTTTTAGGAGTTTAGTGATTACTAAGAAGATCATTTTGGAAGTAATTCATTCTCATTTCAGAACTTTTGGAAAACACAGAAGAGCCTAGAGAGGAAAAGAAACACGATTTTAAAGCTCACGAGCCAAGGGGCCGTGGCCACTGAAGATGGTTTTCTTCAAACATCACGAGTGTCCGCTTCCGTGTGGATTGAGCGTGACGTCAGTGCTAGTTTTGATTCTTTCTCCCTCTTATTGCTTAGTGAGGGGTGGGCTGTTGAACGGAAATCCTCCTGCGGGAACGCGGGGTGGGACGTGGGGATTCCAGCTGGCAGGGCCCCTGCACTGAGCCCTGAGGATCGGGGACCCCCCAGGCCCTGCTGGACCTCGCTGACTCCCCGTCAGCCGCCTCCCTGCGGGACCACCCACACCCCCGAGGCCCTGAGTTTGGGTCAGTTTGGGGGTTGGGGTGTCCCAGCCCTCCTCCCCCATCATCGCTTCCCACCCAGCCGGGCTTGGGGCTGTGCCCTGGACCCCCAGCAGGCCCCAAAGGCCGCTGAGCCCTGGGGGCTGTGGGCTGATGCTCTGTGGCGGGTTCTGAGCGGAGCTGGCCGTTCTTTGGGGCCGTCACCCCGCTCGGAGCCTCCTGTCCACCTCCGTCCTCCGCCCCTGCCCTCCATCGGCTCTACTGCTGGTCTGTGCGCTCACCTTCTCCCGGCTTCCTCTTGCCCTCTGTTGGCTCTTCCCCACATCATCATTCCTCTCGTGTCACACGAGAGTGGGCTCCCGGGTCCAGAGAGTGTGAGGTCCTCTCGGGGCTGGGCTGGCTGGACGCCCAGACTCAGCATGACCCCGCCTCTGGGGCCTCCCTGGAAGATTGTGGGGGGCAGAGGGGGCCCATGGGCGGGGTGTGTGGCTCCGTCTGCGCCCTCCCTGGGCTTCTGGCCAGTGCCCCGTGGCACCTGTTGGTGTAACAAGTCACTTCCTGGGTTGGCATGAAGGAGGTTCCTCCCTTCGCCTGTCGACTGGCTCTGAGAGCCCCAGGGGGGCCAGGGTGACGCCGACCACGGGTGGGGACCTAGCTTGGCTGGGGAGCTTGGGCCGTGGCAGTCTGGGCCAGAACCTCCTGGATTAGCCCGGCCCTCCTGCCTCCCCTGGCAGCTGCGAGGTGAAGGTGGCCCCGGGCCCTGCGTTCCCACTGAGGACAGACCAGCAGGGAAGGACTTGGCCACCCAGGAAGGAGGCAGTGGGGGCCTCGGCGGGTGGCACCCGGCCCCGCAGCCAGGCCTGGCCAGACTCTCCCGTGAACACGGGCTGCCAGCCTTGGTGGCCTCAGGTGCCAGTGGGGATGCAGGTCGCCCCTCCAGTACTGCCTCTGCCCGTGCCACCGCTGCTTCACCTGGGGCTGTGGATTTGTCAGGGCCCCGTATGGGAGGAGACGGGGGAACACCCTGGTGCTCAGCCCAACACTGGGGTCGTGCTAGGCCAGGCCTGCTGTGGACAGCTGGGGGACTCTGCGGCCCACCCTGCCCCCAGCCCTGAGAATCTGCACCTGGTGAGGCCTCCTCCTCTGTCCTGCTCCCCTGCACCCCGCCCCCGGTGCCAGCAGACCCCAGCATCACAAGGGGGACAACGAGAAATGAGGGGTTCAGCATCGGGGTGCCTGTCCTTGGAGCAGGAGCTTTCATCCTGGGCAGCCGAGGCCTGGGTGGGCAGTTGCCCAGCTTCTCAGAGACTCGGCTCCTGGAGGACGAGGTCAGGCTGTGTGGGTGGGTGGGGGAGTCAGCGGATTGGGGCAGGACGGCAGAGGGGGACGGAGTGAGGGGACCGGACGGTATGCCCCTGCCTTCCACCTGACCCCCGAGGTGGCCCAGCGTCTGCCTGTATGTGTGGGGAGGGGGTGCATTCAGGCCCCCCCTTTCCTGGCCCTGCCTGGACGGGCTGGTCACCCCCTTGACAAACCCGTCTTCCCTGCAGCTAATCATGAGGGTTTTTTTCCTGAAACTTGCTTTGTCACTGGCCCCCTGGGTGTCTCGGGCATAAATCTTTGCCTCTGCTTTCTTCTCAGACCTGCAGCTGGTCCCGGCCTCTGACGGCACCGTGGCCTCCAGGAGGACTCAGGTCTGGAACCCCCCAAGCGTGTTTCTGGGGTGTGCTGGCATCGGAGGTTCCCCCTCTCGCCCTGGTGGCTGAGTGGGCGGGGGGGGGGTGGACCCTGAGGCCGTCGGGCAGCTGGGCCTGGGGCCGCGTCTGGGGCTCTCTGCAAAGTGTAGAGGGCGCCCGTCCCTCCTCCGCCCTCCCAAGCAGCTGACCACCCTGGGCGGGGGGCGGAGGGCGGAGGGCGGAGGGCCGGTGGTGGTGCTGACTTTGCCCAGTGGCCAGCGCCCGTCGAGGCCCTTCTGGACACTGGGCAATGGGAAGATGACAGATGGCATCTGGGTCCATCGGGGCCGCGGTCACAGGCTCTTACCTCAGGGGAGCTCAGAGGACCTGCTATCTCCAGAACCATCTATTTTATAGCCGTGTAGATGCTGGTTATGCCCAGATAATGAAGAAGGGACATGCCAGGGCAGATAAGGGACTACCCTTTGGCCACGCCGGGCAGATAGGGGTGGCTAACCTGTCATCGCTGGGTGCGCTCCTCCCAGCTCGTCGCCCCTACCTGGGGGAAGGGTGGTGTCCCTGTTGTGCAGTCAAGGTCCTCCGGCGGAGAAACCCCCTTGACGCAGGCCCTGCTGTCGTCACAGAGTCCTTCGCCAGCAGGATGCTTGGCGACCAGGGCCAGTGTGTGGGGCTGAGCACTGGGTGCAGACGGATGAAGTCGAGAATCTGCGCTGTCCGGCTGTGGTCCCACCCGGGCCCGGGTCCCAGGGAAGGCGGTGGAAAGAGCGTGGGTGTCCTTCCCATGCCCCGGCTGCTGAGACCCTCCGGGGAAGGTTCAGGAAATCTCCTTGGGGGCTGGTGTTATGTCCCGTGTAGCTTCACTTCCTTAACGTGCCCCAGCGCAAGGTGTTAATCGTCGCGCGTCCTGGTGACCCTCCGTCTCAGCCCGTGTTGTCCGCGGGCCGCCCTGCGCAGCCAGCATTTACGGGGCGCTGACCGTGTGAAAGGTGATGCGGGAGGTGCTGCCGACGGGGGTGTAGACGGAGATCTGAAACCCATGAGCCTCCTGGACGGGTTGCTCGGGGCCTGCAGGTAGGCAAAGGACAGGGACGGTGACCCCCGGAGGAGCTGCTGGTGGACGCAGCCACGAATCCCCCGTGCGCAGAAAGCGGGGCACGCACCTTTGCTCTGGGGGATGGCGACAGCACCCCTCGGTGGGCGGGGGACCAGGGGTCCTCAGTGGCCGGAGAAGGTGCTTTGCCAGCTGAGAAGGTTCTTCACCAACCACATCTAAGTTGCTGTCTGTGGAGGATAAGATGACGCTAAATCATCAAATCCTTATCACCAGGGACGGAGCTGGCTCGGGCAGCTCAGGGACCCAGGGTGTGCGAGCTGGTGGGGACCAGGCGGGGACTCCGCCCAGGTGCCCAGCCCTGCTGCAGGAGCCCTACGGACGCAGGGGACTCAGGGACCATGAACTATGACACTGGAGATGTCGCCTCCCCAAGACAGGCCCCAAGAGGTAGAGGGAGAGAGAGAGAGAGAGAGAGAGGAGAAAGGGCGCCAGCTTCCGCGATGATGCTTCCAGCAGAAGGTCCACGTCAGGGGAAGTTTGCAGGAGACAGGACGGGTCTTCCCTTTGAGGCGTTTGCGTCACGAAAGCTTTCATAATTCCCGAATCGTGGAACACACGCTGCGCTGTCCTGTGCGCGTCCCCCGGCCTGACGGTTACCGAGCGCGAGCAGCGTCACGGGCGCCTCACTTCCCCTTCCCTTGGCCTGAAGGATCCTCAGAGCCGTCGCAGACCTTCTGCGGTTTTGCTCCCGCAGACGTCGAGGGGGCCGGGGTGGGGGGACAACTCTCCAAACCCGGGAAACTTTGTGACCTAATTGCTGCTCTATGCGCACAGCGTCGGAAGGAGCAGGAATGCCTCCCTGGGGCTGAGGCCCCGGCTGCTGGATCGTTGAAATCGGGTCCCAGACGGGATCCGCACAGGAAGGGTCATTGCGGGGCCTCTTGCACCTCTCTTGGCCCAGATGGGGCATCGCCCCCGCCCCCGCCTCCCTCCTGCCACATCAGCTGTCCTGCGCAGCGGCTGCACGTTCTCCGTCACCTGCTCCCCTCTCTCCTGGAAACGGAAGTTGAGCTGTGGAAGCTTGGGCCCCTGCAGGCTCGTCTCTCGGCCCGGAACCCTTCCCGGGGGGCGGGGGGGGGGCATGTGTCTCACGCTGGGGCTCACCTGTGACCCTGGGGCAGGTCGTCATGACCCAGCTCCTCGGTGGCATCTTTCATCGATGGTCTCGTGCGTCCGTGGACCGTTGCGAGAAATAATCAGGACACGGGAGCTCGCGAATCGGTGATGGCCGAACGGCACCGTCCCCCTGCCGTGAGTAGCCAGACGCCAGTTAATCACAGCGCACCGTCCCCACCAGCTGGGCTACCCTGGAGGCCGCTCAAGAGGGGGCACGCTTAATTCGTCTCTTTTCACGAATGCGTTTCAAAGTAAGGTTGGGGGGCCTATGACGTCCGGTGGGTTTCCGGTGAAATTTTGTTTTGTTTTCTCTTTTTCTACATGTTTCTCTATTTTCCATAGTTCGCGTGTTTTAACCAATCGCCTTCGCTGTTCTTTGTGGGCTGGATCTGTCCCTGTTGCCCAGGGCTTTTTCTGGTTCCCCCCTCCAAGGTGGCAGGCCAGGGGTACCTGTCACATCAGCAACGAGGGTGGGAGGGGGACTCCCTAGGGCAGGGGGTGACGGGCGCCCTAGCCTTGCCGGGGGTCACATCGAGAAGATCCTTCTTCGTGGATTTACTTTCCCGTCTTGTTTGAAGTGTCTGGGCTGCGGCCCCTGAATACTAGCCCTGGGCGGGGGGGAGGCAGGGGTGCTGCGACTCCCAGGGCCCTGCTGGGAGGAGGGAAAGAAATCCATCGGCTGAAAACTCCAGAACCGGAACAAAAACGTGGCCTGGCTCTGCAGTCTCCGAGCGGGCCACCAGGTGGTGGTGTCCAGCCACCGATCTGCCCGCCCGCTCTGAACCCACCTAGTTCTGGGCGCCCCACAGCCAGGCCCCGGGAGCCAGGGAAGGACCGAGCCCCCGGTGCCCCACAGGGTGCGTGGACGTGGGTTTGGTGGTGCTGTCCCCAACCCCGGTGAGCTTGTGCCGGTGACGGTGACCCCCAGAGCCCCTGGCTCCGCCCAGGGCCCCTTGGGCTCCAGCCTGCTGCCGGGGCTGGGGGTGGGCTTGTCGCCACCTGCAAACAGACGCCTGTTGCCTGTTGGTTAACCAGCTGTGGGCGGGCGGGGGGCCTGGAGTGATGTGGCCACTTGGTGGGTGCACGAGGGAGGGGGAGTGGGAAGGGAGTCCACGGGTTCTAAGGTGCCTGGTGAATGGTGCATCCTCAGGAGGGCCTCCTCCATCAGGCTGGGTGGGAGCAAGCTGTTCCTGGGGTCCTGCAGGAGGGTGTTGATGGGTGGAAGGTGGGGGTCGGCCCCTTGCCACTGGAGAGGGAGAGGGGTGCAGTAGCTTTGGGGGCTTCCGTGCTCCTCATCCCTTCCCTGCCCGGGGCTGTGCTGGGGGCTGCTCAGGGCAGGGGGTGGGGCGTGGGGGCCGTGGGACCAGACGGGGGACTGACCATCCATGCTTGTCTGACCCGCCAGGAGGCGCCCAGGCACAGCCGGGCTGGCCCTCTAGCCCCGTGGTCTGCCCTCACCCCTGCCCTCACCCCACCAGCCCGCCCCTGTATGAGGACCAGGGGGCGCATCCCTCCCCTCCTCCCCCCTCCCCAGCCCCACAAGCAAGGTGTGATCATGTGACCATGTCACACTGTGAGGGGTCCAGGGAGGGTCCAGGGGGCTTGGGGGCTTTCATGAGCGAAGGGCCCAAGGCAGAGGGAGGGGCGGAGGGGCCATCTCAGGATCTCTCGGGTGCATTTGTCAGTCGTGGCCCCCCAAGGGCCCCAGAAGGCCTGTGCCCAGGTGGGCTTCCAAGGGCGGGCCGGCCCCCTCCACACCTGGCTCCTTGTGAGCTGCCGGTGGGGAGATGGGGGTTGCTAATGGGGTCCGGGCCGCTGGGCCTCCGAGGGGCAGCTGGGGCCTCACCGGGCTGCCCTGGGGTCCCAGAGGGAGATTTCTCTTCCTCCTTCTCAGGGAGGAGCTGGTGCCACAGCTCTCAGGGGCCCCGGAGGAGCCGCCAACCAGGGAGGCGCGGGTGGAGCGGGCAGGGCAGGCGGGGCCTGGGGCCTGCCAAGGCCTCTCCAGCAGGGGTGCCCACAAGCTTGGACACCTCCTGCCACAGGCTTGGGCGGGGGGTGTGTGGCCGCGGCCCCCTCCTGCCCACCCTCTGCCTGGACGTGCCCTGCCCTGGCTGGGTTCCTGCTGTCCCCTGCCCCTCGGGGTGCCAGATGGGGTGGGTCCGAGGCAGCCAGGTCTGGGCTCTGGCTCCTGCCCCATCCCCTCCCGAGGGCCCTGGTGGAGCCGGGAGGCGGGCCGAGCAGCCTGGCAGATGGTGGGTCGGGAGGAGGGGCTGCCCGGGCAGATGGGCCGACTGTCAGGACAGATGGTGGGCCGGGCAGGGGTCCGGAGCCCGCTCCATCTGCTCCAGGCCCCCGGTGGGGCTTTTCTTGTCCACCTGGGGCTGAATTGGGAGGAGGCCCAGGGGTGGCTTTCAGCCCAGGCCTGCGCGTATTCTGCTGGGTCCCTTCTGTCCCCGGGCTCAGGGCTGGGTGTCCTTGCCTAGGGCTGCTCTGGGGTCTCGGGGCCCCCTCCCCGCAGCCGGCACAGGGCCGGTGCTCACAGAGCTGGAGGGATTCCCAAGGGCCTGGGGGTGTCCGGGCAGAGCGTGTGGGGCTAGATGATGCTAAGGGGCTCCTGGGGCAGGCAGATAAGTGGTCCGTTGTCATCAACAGTCAGCCTGCTACAGGGGAGGGAGGAGGGGGTCGTGGGGGAGGGGGATGTGGATGAGCATCAGTGCGGAGGGATGGTGACCTGGTGGGGGGCCAGGGCAACTTCTCAGAGGACAGGCTGGCTGAGACCATGAAGGCTTCAG